GCCAGTTGCAAAAACGAATTCTTGCTGCATGATCTGGTTCTTTCAGCTCATGCACAACTGTTACTTTATACGGGCGAAATTTGATTAACTTTGTGGCTGTGCGAGCAGATCCTAGCGAAACACCAGTTTCCTGTGCTAAGCGTCTTAACGATTTTCGAGGACTGATCTGTAATCTTGCCTTCAAAGGGTTAACCTTTTCTTCAGTCAGCACAGTTCTCTTCGATTGCTTCTTCTTGTCACTCACTGAACCTGTGGCCCGCCACTTTTTCAGAAGCCTGTTTACACACGACTTTGTGGGAACTGGCGAGTCAGGATATTTCTGACGAAACCTACGTGCGAATTTTCTGTAAATGTTTTTCCTTGCAATAGTTTCAACAATAAACACACGCTGTTTAATAGTGAACTTCATTTCCACCGTCTGTCGACAGCTGTAAACATTCCACTCCACTTCCACAGCAAGACAAAGACTGACTGTTTAATGCAACCTCGGGTTCCGATTATGCAACCATCGGCGTAGGAGCACTGCAGTCGCGGGGAGGAGTTGCATCCGTTCTGCGGTGGTATGACTCACGGCAAATTGCAGCCGCGGAGCGCACTTGATTGTACGCACTGTATATATGTAGTATTATTTGACATTAATTGTTAGGCGGTGCCTCATCTTAAAATGTATTTCGGCCGTTCTGTTGGCCAAACAATTAATGTCAGATAATACTACACCTATACCACGGGCCTCCAAGCAATTTATTACATGTATACAAGTCTAGAATATACCATTATGTCCACTGGAATATGACAAGATTGCAACAACTCACTTCATGATATGCAATATCACATGAAGAGTTTTTAACTATATTTTACTCCATAACTTTCATTTCCTTCACTTGTTCATGAAAATCACCCTGAAGATTGCAACTACAGTGAAATGGAAGGAAATCAATCAGCTGAAACCAGAAAGCAGATCTTGCACATTAAGCTTATCACTGTGTTCACAATCGTTTGCTCAATTCTCTGAGACTTTTCTGACAACCAATTTTAAAGGAAAACTGAAGAGCAGTAGGGACAAAGAATCACTTTATTTCAGCCCATAGTAAACTGAGAATATATCAGCTAAATGCTGTTACAAACTCTCCTCGACAGTTCGATTTTTATATAGAATTCTGAGGAATATTTCATGGAATGAGAAAATGGCTATTTTACTGCTTCCTACAAACAAGAAACTCAGGCTTGTTGATGTGGAAGTTCAGAATGACAAATTGTTTGGAAGAGTACATTAGAAATTATCCCAAAGGGACTGCATTCAGAAAACTGTTTGAGTTGTGTTTGTGTGCAGGCATGTCTGAGGGCAGCAGCTATGTTTGCAGTCTCAGGTGATCTGCAACTGAAGCAAAGTAAGTCATGCCGAGCAGGATTGCAGCTGTCTGTAGGCCGATTCCAGCGATGGATGGCAGATGTCCGCCTTGGGAAGTTTATACATGAGTAAGTGTTAGGTGACATTGCTGTATAGGGTTGTCAGTCTTAAAATTAAAAATTATTATAAATTTTTTACCAAATTTTATATTTCCTTATGCACAACTTAAAACACTGATCAAAACGGGAAAGAAAAGAAGAGCTTATATTTTTGTTTTCTTTTTTTTTTGTTTAGGTATGCAGCTGTGTACTTGACAGCTGGGTTGGAAAACCTGCTGGAAGAGATAATACTCCAGTGTCTGCCGAGTGAGGCAGATACAGTCCTCACTGCCACAATGTTTGAACATGCAATTGCCAACAATGGGGACTTGTGGGGCCTACTACAGCCATATGCACACCTCAATGCTGGTAGGATTGCCTCAGGTGAGTGTCATTTTGAAGAGGTGTTGCACAGTACCTCACTGGGTCAGTGAGTCACACCTAATTCAGAACTTCATTGCATGTTGTAACAGTGTCGATGAAGACTTGTAAGGCAAGTCACATAAAATTCAAGAGCTCACCTGTATGTTGTAAGGCAGCTGGCGCTGCCTTGCTGGGCTAATGTGTTGTTTCTGCTTCAGAGCATACCTGTGTATTGTAAGGGAACTGGCATTGTACTGCCAGGATAATGTGTCACATCTAAGTCAGAGCTTGCCTGTATGTTGTAAGGCACCTAGCACTGTCTTACTGGGATAGTTGTATCTCATCTAATAAGAACTGAACTGTGTTTTGTAGGGGGTATGCGATAGCGTAGTTGGTGGAGGCACTTTGCTACAAGCCAGAAGGTCACAGGATCGAATCCCAATGAGGTTGATTTTTTCAATTTACCTAATCCTTCCAGGCACACTATGGCCCTGGGGTCGACTCAGCCTCTAACAGAAATGAGTACCAGGAATATTCTTGGTAGTAATGGGTGGCCAGCGCATAAGGCTGACAACCTTACCGCCATCTGTGAGCTGATTGCTTAGAAATTGTGGGAACCTCAACATCTCGCAACCCTATGGGCCTCCATGGCCTGTTGCAGGGATACCTTTACTTTACTTTACTTTACTGTGTTTTGCAGGGGCCCTGGCAATGCCTCGTTGGGCAAGTGTTTCCAGTGTGAACACTGAATCCACCCACACATCATCGTTAGCAAGTGGAAAGTCTCTTGAACAGTCACTGTTGACAACATGTGTTGGATCTGCGCATGAGCTAACAGAGCTGCTGGCATGCATCAACACACGACCCCTCACCTGGACGCCACCTGCCATTCAGGCACTTTTCTACTTCATGCGGTGCTCCCAGGTACACTGTAATGTATGCTTATAGATGTGCTTGAACTCTCATGAAGAACACACATATAGAAGGTGTTTGAGAACAGGATTCTAAGAATATTTGGGCCTTAAGGAAGAAAGTAATAGGAGACTGGAAAAAATTTGTAATTTTTACTCTGCACAAAATATTAAGATGATCAACTCAAGGAGTATGAGATGGGCAGGGCATGTAGTAAGCATGGGATAGATGAGAAAAGTATACAGAGATTTGATCAGAAAATGTGAAGGTTAGAGACCAAAGAATGTTTTTTTAACAGAGTAGGGTGAAAGAGAGTGGTCACAATTAATCTGGCACTTGATAAGAACCCATGACAGGCTTCTGTGGAATCAGTAATGAACTTTTTGGTCCTGTAAAGGGCAAGACATATCTTGGGTAGTTGAGCATACTGTTAGCTTCTCAAGAAGGTCTCTGCTTCATTGAGTTAGGGAGGAGTTACTACATTTCTTTGATGAGACTCACAGTTTAGTACTGAGTGTCAGTTCATTGAATTTTATTGTTTACGTGATGATGGAAAGTTAAGTTGTGGTGTTGTAGGTTATGGCTACATCTTGAAGATTAAAATTTAGATCGTGGTCTTCTGGATTGTGACATTCCAAGTCACAGGCCTACTTATTGTTTTCTTTGACAGCTGGAGCATGCAGAGCATGTGGCCCCCATTCAGGAGCTGGTGTATGAGCGTGCATATGTTGTGCTGCCTCCCTTGGTGGAATGGCTGAGGGTGACTGCAGCCCATGCAGAGCACAGACACTCCACCACTCTTGATCATGACGATGTGATGCAGGCTGCCCGGCTGCTCTTACCTGGAGTGGATTGCCCCATTCGACAGATTGGGTATGTTGTTATAATGTCTATTCTGTACATGTGCTTAAGTACCTGTGTCAGCTGTTGAGGCATCGCAATGTTGAATATTGAATGACACAGTGATAATTTTCCCCAAAAGAGAAGGGCACTGTTATGATATATTTTAAGGATGTGTAGCACCATTAATGTAGAGAGACTGATGAAATCCACAGAAACAACCCTATGTATGATGTGGAGATGGTGAAGAAATGTTCCAAGTTTTTTCTTTGTTTTCTTCACATTATATTGCTCAAATAAAAAATCCTTCAAAAATATTGAGTAACAGTCATGATGTTTTGGAACAGTTTAAAAGACAACACTAACCACATTATAGCTCTATCTGAATTCAGCTTTTACACACATTTAGTTGTATAGATGCCCCACACACACACACACACACACACACTTGTGCACGCTCACACGCACATACAAATAGAAGTATATTCTCTTAATGCTCTTATAAAACATAATGCACATCGTGATTCTTTTTCTTTCTGAGAATTCAGGTTTTATTTTTTGTAAGAAACGTGCAAGATTTTGTGCATGTAATGTGGATTTTCATGGCTACATGCAGGTATAAACAGTGCAGTAAATCTTGTTTCACAGTTTTTCCTTTCTGTACTGATCAGAGGCTCTTTGCCTACATAAAACATTCCAGAGGATTCCTGTGGTTAACCTAACATTGTTATGATCATTTCTGTTCTCACATTCATTTTTATCCCAGTAATCTGTTCCATGCTGCTAGATCAATGCCTTGCCCAAATTATTTATGTTACATTTTCATAATCTCATTTATAAGGGTCTAAGAAAATGCACTTCAGCAATTTTCTATTACTTCAAGCTGTTGAGATATTCTTCAATTGCAAATCATGCATTGCAGAGAGTTTCAATAAGTGGGGGGTGCTGCTGCTTCATATTTAGATGTTTCCAGGTACAGTTGTTGGCCAGAAGTCTTGATATCTTTGTCTTTTGGGGCAGATGCTAGGATATGATCATAAAGTAGGCTACAGCCATTTGACATACTTCCTATTCCATCACTGATAATCATCCTACCTGATGCTTTATATTCTGTGTAATTAAGATGCTGGAATAAATTCAGAAACAAAGAAACAACCATACCTCCTCCACATCCCTGCAATATATATTTTACACACAAAAAATATAGCATGAAAAGAGTTAAACAGTCCTTAAGTTCCGATATATTGGGTTTTCGGACTTTATCCATCGTCCTAGTTTTTGAGATAACTAATAACATAATATTAGTAACTAATAACTGGATCTGTTTCCGTCCTCAGGTGAGGACCTTCACCTGAGGGCGGAAACAGATCCAGTTTCCGAAACGTCGTGTTTTTATTAGTTATCTTAAAAACCAGGATGATGGATAAAGTCCAAAAACCCAATATATCAGCGTGTTATACACCATCGTCAGAATCCTATAGTAACTAGTCCTTAAGTTGTTTTTACACTTTGATTATTTATACATCTTCAGTTGGTGTTTGAAATTTGATGGTTATGTGATTTATTTGTACTTCTGTTATGATTGCATTTGTTGTGGTTCACAGCACGGAGGAGGGTGGTGGATCAGTGGGTACAAGGCGACCAGGAGATGAGGTGGAGTGTGTACGTCGGCTGAAGTCAGAGTTGGCATTCAAGATGCTGCGAAGTGGACACAGTGACCTTATTCCTCATGCTCTACAATTGCTACCAAGCAATAAGGTAATTCTGCTGTGTAAGACTTGAATTGGTAATTAAATGGTGAAGTGAACCCTTATTAATATATTGATATTTCAGTCATTTCCTGACTGTGGAGGAGTCATATTCTGCTTAATGTGCCCTAAACCTGTTACAGTTTGGTATCAAGTACATAACTCCACAATGGTATATATGTCATGCTTTGTTGTGTACATTGAATGGTAGAACCATCTCTGATGAGGATATGGCTGATATTATTGTCAAATTAATGGAACAAGGTCAAGCTGTCTGGATGAACAAATGCTACAACGTTAATATTAAACACTCTATGCTACAGTGTTGAATTTTAAATGAAACAATGTGCTCTAAGGGTGAAGGACAGCCTTAGCCTTATGCACAGGCTGCCCTTTACCCTCAAGAACATTCCAAGAATATTCCTGGTACTCATTTCTGTTAGAGGCTGAGTCAACCCCAGGGCCATAGTGCAGTTGGAAGGCTAAGGTAAATTGAAAAAATCCAGTGACCTAATTGGGATTCGATCCCGCTACCTTACGGCTTGTAGCATAGTGCCTCAACCAACTGAGCTTAGATAATAAATTAAATAAAATGAAGTTAAAGACCTTTTGGAATTAGTTTATCAGTTATTTAATTATCATGAAATGGGAACTTCAGAGCTTTAGTGGAAGTTGAGTATACAGGATTCAGAAACATTCTTTTTTTTCATGATATATTTGTACTGTATAACCATGACACTTTATTATTCAGTATATTTGTTATTTTGTGTCTAATAAGGTGGTAGAGCTTAGTTAATAAGTAAGTAAGTAAAAAGTAAATATATTGTAACGTGTTTACATTACTGAAGACGCCGTAGAGATGGTTAATTGGTTTATTTAACAATCTTCAAATAACGGCTACAATTAATGATAACAATGTTACGGGTTTCCACACTTTACAAACCCTAGAACAAAATCTCTT